AAACATTATTCCAAAAGGAAAATGTATTAAAATTTAAGAAAATCTTATTCCACAAAGAAAAAAGTATTAAAATATAAGGAAAATGTATTAAAATTTAAGGATTTTTTTTCAATGAAAACCTTATTCCAAAAGAAAAATGTATTAAAATTTAAGAAAAAGGTATTAAAATATAAGGAAATCTTATTCCACAAGGAAAATGTATTAAAATTTAAGGAAATAATTCAATTTTAATTAAAAAAAAATCCTTTTTTTGGAGGTGTTATTTGAACTTGGGTCACTTAAGACAAGCATGACACTATTTACCACCAAGCTACTGAACATTTATGTTAAACTTACGCATGTTGATTTACTTACAAACTTCAAGAAGGCAAAATAATTATAGAATAACGAAAATACTTATGTAGGGAATCGAACTGGGACAACGAGTGGGCTTGTGACAGCTCTTGCCATCTCCACTGCGGGTCACTTTGTTATTTCAGGGTGTCCATTATACCATATATGCCAATATAAGTCAAAACTTTACGTGTATATATCATATAATTTTTCGATGAAGGGTGTCCAATTGGACATCCTTGGACAAGGTGGCTCCACCCCTGGGTGTTGTTGTTGGTTTAGAAAAATGGTCATGTGTATTGTCATTGAGGATGGGATGGTGTCATGTTGTAGTGTTAATAGTTAGGTTTTCACCCCGGAAGGAGGTAGCATTGAAACGGTTAACAAGTCTTGATAGAAGTACTATAGGGTTACAAGTTGAGTGGTGTCGGGAATGAACTAAGGGCATATCGTGAGTGTTGATCGGTTGGTAGTGGTCATATCCATAATCTCTCATAAGAGATAGACGGTTAAGCTATGAGTAAGAATGAAGTGAGTAAAGGGTTAGAGTCAAGTATGCTAGTATGATATTAATATCCGGAATGGTAAGGGTAGGAAAATATAAAGGTGGAGGAGCGAACAGTCTTATAGCATGTTCTTGCTAGTTGATTTCTTATATTATGTGGTGGGTATTGGGTTGACCGATGATGCCTACCAAGTACATGTGGTTGTACTGATACTACTCTTGCTATCCCTTTTTGGCATAGTTTGGTTGCAGGATCAATGATGTTTCGTAGGTGAAGACGAAGGCAATCTCCAACAACTTCTACTTTTCCTTCCGCATGGTGGGAGTTGCGTCATTTATGATTTGTTATACCTTGTACTCTTAGTAGCTCTTGTACATGTTTAGACTAGATCCCTGGAGTGTTAATTACTTTACAAGTCTTAACTCAAATTGTTGTCAAAACCCTTATTTTATGAAAATCTTATGAATATTATTGTTCTTCAGCTTTCTTAAATCTTTCGCATGTTTAAAAACTGTTTTGGAAATCGAGGGTTCTCCTACTTAGGTGTTAGAGTAGGTGCCCGCATGGCCTGGTAGGTTGGGTCGTGACAACAATTTATAAAACACATATAATACAAGATTTATTGATAAATAATACATTTATCACACATTTTAATACACTTAGGGGGTCGTTTGATAGAGTGTATTAGGGGTGGCAAATGGGTGGTTTGGATCGAATTTGGATAGATTGAGTTAAAATGGATTGAATCACAATCCACCATATAAATTATGGGTAAATATAAATTATGGGTAAATATGGATTTGGGTAAAATGATTGTAACCCACTTTAATCTCTTAAAGCCAAAAAATATTAAATCAAAGCTAAGTTATTAATACCTTAACCCCTACCATCCCACCCTACCACTTCCACCCCACCCCCACCACCTCCCCCCACCTCCCCCCACTCCCAAAAAAATTTAAATAAAAAACTTTTTTTTCGAAAAATAAAAATTTTAATATTTTTTTAAAATATTTTTTTTTTTGCCAACCCTATCCCCCACCCCATCCCCCCAAAAACTAATAATTTAGAAAAACTCTTTTTAAAAAAAAAAAGAAATTGGCAACCCCTACCCTCCACACCCGGGCACCCCCCCCCCCCCACCTTCCACCCAATCTACCCTAATTTTTTTGTTTTTCAAAAAAGTTATGTTTTTTCTTAAAAAAAATATTTACCCTCCGCCACTCCCCTCCCCCCGGGCGCCCCCACCTCTACCCTCCACCCAACCTACCCCTATTTTTTTTTTGTTTTCAAAGCCCCTCCCACCCTCTAATTTTTTTGAATAATAAATTAATATTTTTGAAAATTAAAAATTAATATTAGAATTTTTATTTTTTAGCACAATTTAGAATTTTGAGTGGAAGGAGAAGTGAGTGATCAATTATGGGTCTATATGGATACCCATATTTTATCCATTTTGACCATATTTGTAGGAGCTCTTAAAATAGCTTGAAGCCCATATTTATCCAATTAAAATATGAGCGATCCAAGTCATTAAATATGGATAAAATAGAGTCATTTCATTAATATGGGCTGAAATTGCCATCCCTAGAGTTATTAGGAAAAATAATGCATGTATTAGCCTTGTGTATTACTAGTACCTTGTTTGGTACTATTTTTCAACCTATGTATAACTACTGCTTGCATTAGTTATACACTCTATTATGTATTAAGGTGTGCATTGCTAATACCGTGGATTTCTAGGTATTAGCAATGCAATGGTTTTAATGCATGCATTAACATGATAAAAGACTCAATTGCACCTTAAAACTTTCTTTTACATCTTCTCCACCATAAAAGTGAAGGATATCTTTGTAAATAATTGTTTTTAATGCAATACATACTATTTTTAATGCTTCAAACCAAACAATGTGAAGAAGCACAATCCATATGCTTGCCTCTGTAGCACACATGAATTAGCTGGTTTTGGGTGACTTGAATTGTTAGTTTGTTTGCTCTTTTTTTTTTGCCTAATTTTGAATTGCAATTGTAGCCAAATTTCTTTGGAAAATAGCCATCATGGATTATTATTATAGCCCTCAATTAATTACCTATTTTCCACTCTACATAAATTATTGTTATAGCCCTCAATTAATTGAACCTAAGTCATTGATATCAATATTAGACATGTGACAATTGACGCTCATTCAAGAAATAATTTGAGGGAAATAAAGATGATAGTTAAATCCCTTTTCTATAAATATGGTTCTCCTAACACTATAAGAATTGATTCCTAAATATTGATAAGGTAAAATAAAGGTAAATGTGGTTAAGATATAAATAGTACAACTCACATAACATATTGTACAATTAAGTACTACAGTGTTAGTCCTTTTTGTTGTTGGCTTATATATATATAATATATATATATATATAGGGGCGGATCTAAGTGGATAGGTGGGGGTGCCGCGGCACCCAGTGGTCTTGGAAAAAACGTTGTATATATATGTATATATGTTTAATAATTCAATATATATTACGTTTGCCACCTAGTAACTGAAATGCGGAACAACTCAATTGGCGAAGGAGATGGTGTGCCACACAGCCAGAGGCGAATTCAGAATTTTAAAAAGACGGATGCACCATTTTCAGAACCGGCAGCCCCTTTATGAAAAAGACAACCATTTTAGGCTCTCAAATTTGAGGGCCTCATTTATTTTAGCAATAATAGATTATAGGTTTTTCATCAGATAACTATTAAATACAATTTGCGGAAAAAAAAAAATTCAAAGAAAAAATTATATATATGCAATTTTGCATCTTAAGAAATTTAAAAAGTACACTTTACAGAAGGAAGATGAAATTTTTCAAAAAAATAACAAACAATGGTGCTTTTTAATTAATTTTTAAAAAGAAGTCTTCTCTAGAAATCAAACCCTCAACCTCACAATCAAAAACCAACACTCGAACCAGTGAACCATCCACTAATTTGTTATCATGTGTTCCATTATTTGACTATTTACTATATTTTAAGAATTATACAAATTATATATCGAGTTTTGTCGGATGACCACGGGTTCCGGTGACCTATTTTTTTACACTTAAATTTGCCCTTGCACACAGCCAATGCGGGTTCGAATCTCGTTGCCAACACCTAATTTTTTGCTTGCTCCTTTTTTTCTTTTCTTTTCTTTTTTGTCTTTTTCATTAGTGTGTAAAGGGCTTAATTTTTTTTTCTCCATTCATTCTTATTTATTTACTATTCTTTATTAATTCAAATTGACTTCTTTTCATAATTAATTTTTAGTTTTTTTTACCTTCTCTTGCTAATTATTAATCTCTTGATATGTGTGTTACATGTTTATTTTTTATCAATTAATGAGTACTGAATTATGAACGTAAAATAAATATTATTAAGAATATATTTAAATAGTAGTTTTTAAAAAATATAAGTTTTAAAAATGATAAATATTATTATTAGAGTTTTTTTTTTTTAATTTAAAGATTCTATCGATCTTCACCGACGTTCTTGCTAAGAAAGATGACTAGGCTGAAACTACAATTTTTATTCGTTCCTTACTATATATCTCCAACAATACATAAAGTCAATGGAATATGAATATATTATGTTAATATTATTAGATGGTTTATACAAGCTCAAATTTTAATGTGAAAAATCTTTTTTTTCTCAAAGTTCCAGTGAATAAGACATCTAATTCCAAATAGGAAATAAAAATTGAATTGTTTAGTTATCTCTAATCTCAGAATATCTAAAAGAAAATATTACTAACAAGCATATTTGATCGATTTGTTTATAAAATAAAATAAAATCAATAACCCGAATTGTAACCTAAAATTAAAGCAATCGATCCTTTTATCTTACTTGAACGTTATGGCACCCACGACCTCCAAATCCTAGATTTGCATATATATATATATATATATATATATATATATATATATATATATATGATTATGTTCTATATAATAGTAAATCATTAGCCGTCACGCAACTACAATACATACAGAAAATTTGAACTTTATTTGAAGAGTACACTTGTCATGCCTATTATAACTAGTATAATTAATAGAATTTTTTAAAAATATTTTCCATATAGCTAAATTTTTTCTAACCTATAAAACTATGATATATGCTTTATAAATTTTTCCATAATTATTCCATCCATGGAGAGAATTAAGGAAAATAGTCCTAGTATCCTAACATTTCCATGGTTAGGTTTTGGCCATGTAAATCCCTTTTTGGCACTAGCCAAGAAATTATCAAAAATGAATTTTCACATATATTTTCTATGTACATCAATTATTCTCAAATCTATCAAGGAAACCCTAGATAAAAACTCAACTAATTATAATCTCTCCATACAACTTGTTGAATTTCACTTGCCTTATTTGCATGAGTTACCTCCTCACTACCATACAACTAAAGACCTCCCTCCCCATCTTAACTCCACTCTTATTCAAGCCTTCCAAATGGCTTCTTCCAAATTTCCAAGCATAATTGAAACCCTAAAACCTAACCTGATTATATATGATGGGTTCCAACCATGGGTAGCAACTATGGCTTCATCATGCAATATTCATGCTATTATGTTTTATGTTTCTTCAACTTCAGGTCTTGCCTACCTTTACCACCAATTTCTTCATGGGACTTCAAACCTTACATCATTTCCTTTTTCTTCCATATACCTTCATGACTATGAGATCAAGAAATTAGGCATACAACAGATAAAACCACGTGATGAGAAAGCTTTTGCATACATGATCCTTAAATCTTTTGAACAATCTCACAACATTATTTTGTTGAACACTTGTAGGGAGATTGAGGGAAAGTATATAGATTATGTTTCTACCATAGGAAAGAAGGAGTTGATACCAATTGGACCATTAATTCGCGAGGCGACCATAGGTGAGGAGGAGGATTGGGGGACAATTCAATCATGGCTAGATAAGAAGGAAAAATTATCATGTGTTTATGTATCATTTGGAAGTGAAAGCTTCTTGTCAAAGCAAGAAATTGAAGCAATAGCAAAAGGGCTTGAGCTAAGCAAAGTTAATTTTATTTGGACAATCAAATTTCCAAAAGGGGTGAACACAACAATGGAAGAAATGGTTCCACAAGGTTTTCTTGAAAGTACAAAGGGAAAAGGGATGGTTATTGAAGGATGGGCACCACAAAGTCTAATTTTCAACCATTCAAGCATTGGAGGTTTTATAACTCATTGTGGATGGAACTCGATTTTAGAAAGCATGAGTTTTGGCATACCAATAATAGCCATGCCTATTAATCACGATCAACCATTGAATTCAAGATTAGTGGAGGAACTTGGAATAGGGGTGGAGATTTTGAGAGGTGAAAATGGGAAAATAATGAAAGAAGAGGTGGCAAAAGGAATAAGGAAGGTCGTAGAGGAGAAGACTAGGATACAAGTGAATTTGAAGGCAATGCAATTGAGTGAGAAGATAAAATTGAAAGGGGAGAAAGCTACTGATGAAGAGGTTAAAAAGTTGTTGAAGCTATTATGTTGATTTATAAGAGTGATAATGATGAATTGGATTGAATTTGGACACCATAAGTATTTAGATATTAATAAAGATTGAAATAAGAGAATTTAATATACAAATTGTATTGAATGATGTAATCTAGAGATAGGTTTCTCAAGACCATATTGTCTTATATAGTTGGTCTAAGTAAGGTTAAAACGACACCACTTAATCCTACTTAAAACTTGAAAACCCCAAAGTGCCCCTAACTAATCCCTTGAAACTGCCTATAGGTGACTGCCCACGACCCCACGACCACGGTCCGTGGATGGACCCACGTGGTGTGCTGGTGAACAGTGGGTGGGTTTACTGGAGCTTTGTTTTTGAGCCCTTGGCCCACGAACCCTCACCCACGGGGTGTGGGTGGACCAACGGGGTGTAGGTCCCCACGTAGGTCATTGTTTTGGGCAGTTTTGCTAAGGTCCTTCTCAAGGGCCCTTGGTTGGTCCTTGAGGGGTTGTACTTTGACGTTCTAACTCCCTTCATTTTAAGTATGGGGAGTTATTCACGACTCTAATCGTCACGTCAAGCTCTTGTATAGCCTACTAGTTTCCGGGGTGTTACAATATCTCCCCCTTGGGAACATTCATCCTCGAATGATGTTCTAGGCACTTCTTAAGGTTATGACTCTAGACTAGCAACCCATCATGCATGCAACACATCTAAATGCACACAACCAATGAGGAAAACATCAAATCCAAGCTAAACATACTCAATGCAATACAAGGAAGAAAGAACTACATCTAACAACCCAAAAATGCATGAAATTCAACATCTACTCATGTTTAAGGAGGAACTACCATCTCCCAACTAAAATGTGCTCAACACACTCTCATGGAGCTCATATGCAATTTACTCTCAAAAACATCTATTTTTAGAGGAATCTCTCAACTCTGAACTAAGGCATGCTCATCAAGTCACCTCATGAAGTCTATAGGTAACTTATACTCAATGCACTACAACATGAGGAAATAAATCATATAAACTCATTTTCTTTCAAAACACTAGTTTTTATGAACATGCATCACATAAGAAGATCATGGAAACATCTAAAACTCACATGACTTCACATATAGCCAAACCATGAACATTAAGAACATTCAACGACCTTGCTAACTAAGTGCATCATCTCCCTCTTGGGAGCAAGCCTAAACGGACTTTCAAAGCATCATATTTTTCAATTCAATTAAGGTCGGATTAAGTTATCACTAAGCTTTCACATTCATCACACAATATGACTCCAAACCATGGTGAACTATACAACTACCCTTCATAGGAATCTACTCAATTATCATATCTAGGCATTATCTAAACACCCTATTCCTCAAGTCTTCACCAACATATCCAAAGCTCAAAATGGCCAAGTAGGGTTCTACTATCAACAACATATAACAATAATGTAGCCCACTTATACTCAAGACAACATCAATGTCTAACATATAAAGTCACAAAAGATTAAACAATAACGGAATCTAGTAAAGCATAAGGCACATACCAGTATCAACATCCGAAGGACACTTTTGTTCACCTCTAGCTTGGAGAGCATAAAACCTATTCTTCTTTGGAACGTTCCCATCCGAACCACTAGAAGTAACTTTCTTATCCTCTCTTCCCTTAGCCTTAAGCATCGGGCAATCTCTCATTTTGTGCCCACTTTTTCCACAACCATAACAACCATCCATTCCGGCTAGGCACCTACCATGGTGATTCCTTCCACACTTGGTGCAAGTAGGCTTAGGTAATGGAAACCCACCACCCTTCTCTTGGTTAAACCTAGGGGTATTAGGAGAATCTTGATCGAAATACCTTTGTTTAAACTTATGTATTCCTTGTCCATCGGATCTAGCATTGGAGAAGTTCTCATCACCGGTCCTAACTCTTTTCACCTCCCTATTCTTTTTCTTGAGTTTTGACTTCTCAATTTGTTGGGCGTACACCATAAGACGTGAGATATCCACATCATGATGGAGCATTGCCGTACAAAATTCTTTTTCTACCTTATATAACACGCCCATCAAAAACCAACTCATTATATCCCTTAAATCTGTCACCATAGTTGGAGCATACTTGGACAATTGAGTGAACTTTAGGGCATACTCTTTAACACTCATGCTACCTTGGCTAAGGTTAATTAACTCTTCCACCTTAGCTTCCCTCAACTCTCGGGGAAAGAACCTATAAAGAAATGCTAGTTTGAACATTTCCCACTCTATTGGACCCGCTCCTACCGGCCTCCCATCTTTCTATTGTTCATACCATATTTGAGCAACATCCTTCAATTGGTAAGCGGCTAGCTCCGCTTTTTCTACCGAAGTCACCCATATGATAGCAAGTACCCTATAAACCTCATATATAAACCCTTTAGGATCCTATTCCACTTTGGAGCCATAAAACTTCAGAGGGTTCATCCTCATAAAATCCCTCACTCTTGAAGCAGTCATTCCCACTATTGGGTTCACCGGAGCTACCACCTTTCTATTCACTTGTGCAATCATGGCTTGAGCCAACATTTGAAAGACCGACCTAATCTCCGCATTCGACATAGCCGAAGGATCAATTGGAGCTTGAGGAAGATCTTGTATATTGCCTTCTTACTCATCATTGCCTTCCTCGTTCCTCCCAGCATTAGCCCTTGTAGTAGTCATATCCTAAAAACCATAGGGCACGGGTTAGGAGAAAGACCTAATAGAGTTAAACTCTATGCCACGGGTTAGAGAGTAAAGAAGTAAGATTTCCTAATCATATAATAGTTTCTCATTCATAAATGTGGCGCGCTTAACACTTATGAACAAGACTCTACTAGACATAGTTTGAGACATCCTAGAACCATTCTAAACCTCATGTTGTGATTACCAAGTTTGTCACGACCCAGGGTACACCCTAGATGTAACATGGCACATAGAACCCCGAAGGACTCAATGTAAGCCACATAGCATATCATAACATAATATAATAGAAAATTACGAAAATTAAAAACATTTTCCCATACAATCGAAGTCTTTTATAAAAGCAAGTGGAAGTCTATAACACTTTGTCTCAAATCATCTAAAACAACTTGAATTGATTTGGGACGCAGCCCATACAAAATTCTAAAACATAAAAAAAAGACATAAAGGAAATGTGATCACATACTCGATGCTATGAGGACTCACCAAGTCTTCAACTCCTTGTTCTATTAGAAACCTAGCCACATGGATGGAACTCAAGATCACCAGACCCTACATTTGATAAGAATGTAGGCAAGAGTATGGTTAGTACAAATTGTACTAAATATAATAGCTAGCATAACATCATAAGAGCATAACAACATGATCATAAGCATAATCTCCAATATAGACATAATATAAGCATTAGTCAACATAAGGCATAATCTATAAATATAATAGATACATCATATTCATAAGCATAGCCATTACTTAGATCTTCATAACATAAGAGAACTATTTATCAAGTAACCTCAAGTCATACTTGTGCAATGCATGGATAAGACCCTATAATCTCACCCATACTAAGTATCACTTTTAGGCCATCATAATCTTACTTACCATCTTTGGTCTCATCCTTAGCTTAATTCTCATAGACAAGAGAACCTTTACCTTTAGTCAAACATATCAAAGAAGGCAACTATAGCAACAATCCAAGCTAATCTATCATCATAACAAGTAAATCTCATCTTAAAACATACTTACGATACTTCCTTGAAGTAACCTTGTTTCATCATAACTATGCTACTTTGATTGAGGACTAGTCAATCCTTAGCTATTTCTACTATTCATGGAAGTCATATCATCTTACCAATCCAAGCTAAATCATTATCCATGGAAGAGTACTACTTTACTAATCCAAGCTAAGCATACAACATATAAGAGAAACACTCCATAATTAACTTCAAGTCATACTTTTGCAATGCATGGATAAGACCCCATAATACCACCCATACTAAGTACCACTTTAGGCCATCATACAAAAATGATTACTATTCATCACTTCTAGGCAACCAAAGAATAACACCCTATAGGCTAGACCAGGCTACCATGAAAAGCATAGTATCATGCAAGTCCAAATTATTCAAGGAAGAGCACTATTGCTTCATCATAACTACCATTAAATGATTTGGCCTAACCAAGTCATGCTACTATGCAAGTATACCATGATACTAGTGCAAGTTATCCTTAGGAAGGGTATGTGTAACACCCTGGAAATTTTTTGAGCTAAAACTCGAATCATCCTTCGTAGTGAGTAAGTTTTTACCAAGGAATTTAAATTTTTCCTAAGTGTTAAGGTTACTAGATGTAGCACCTTGAGTTACAAGAAGAACTAGAGAGAATTCATTGAAGTCATTCCTAAGCTCTTATATGTTTTAGGTCAACTTCAAACGACCATAACTCTCAGTATAAGATGATTTAGGCGTGCCATAAGATGTAAAATGAAAGGTCTTTGAATTATCTTTGCAACGCCACCGAGTTTGTTAAGTTTCAAGGTCGGATGAGTAAGATATGCCCTTTTGAAGTCAGGCTATCCAGTTAAAGAAAGTTACCCGAAAATAGTAAGGGGTATTTTGGTCTTTTCCTTACCAAATCAGATTTAATTCGTTTTTAGTAAGGTTTTAAGGTTCTAATCCTAACAGGTTCAATTTTATAATCCTAATATACGCCTAGGGTTTTAGTTGAGAGTTCAAGAAGAGAAAAAAAAAAAAAAGAGGAAAGGGTCAAGGCGTTCTTCGAGGTTCTTGAGTTTTGTTACGGATTTTCATCATGGGTTTAATCCATAAAAGGTATGTAACCTTTCATAGTGTTGGGTTTGTTCACCGACACTCCAATCATGTTATTTTCAGCGAAATTTCATTCTTGAAGTTGAAAGATTAGAGTTCTTGATGAGTTCTTGAGAAGTGTTCTTGAAGTTCATCCTAAATCTTATTGTGCTGGGGTTTTGATGATTTCTTGAGATGAAAGTGAGTGTTTTGAGGGTTGTATTGAGTAGATTAGAGTGTAATTATTCTAAGTAATCGAATCAAAGTGATTGGAGAAGAAATCGTTCGATTCTAGGCGAGTTAGGGTGAGAAAATTAGCAAAGAAATTCTTTGGATTTTCTGGGTTGGGGCCTGGCGCGTCGCCCCAGCCAGTGCGCCTCAAATTATGTTCTGTAGTTTAGGGGATGGCTCCCCGCGCCACTCAGTGCGCCAGGGTCGCCTGCCCCTTCCAGTTTGCAATCGGTTCCTCCGTTTGAGTTCTTTTAAAGTGTACCTTCACTCCCTTTTGATTCTAAACTACTTCTAAACACCTAGAAATCGTTCATAACATGAATCATAACCTTGAAGTCATAATTCAAATTCAAGATAGAGTTAAGAGTCAAGTCTTGAAAGTTCTTTCGAATATTTTGAGAAAGTCCCTTTTAGTCGTTTTGAGGAGTGTTCTACAATTTCTAATAACTTGTTTCAAGACTCAAGTAAGTGATCATGAGAGTGAAGAGAATGTATTCATGAGTCTACACTATTATCTAGACCCTTCATATCATGAACCATAACTCTTAAATTCATAATTCACATTCAAGAGAGAGTTAAGAGTAGAGTTCAAGAACGTCTTTGAGTTCAATTGTGAATCCTTTGAGATCAACTATCGATTTGAGCTAAGTTTTGAGAAAGTAAGTATAAGAATGAGAAGAGTCGGATACATGAGTTTCATATTGTTATGTAGACCCTCGAGTCGAGTCGTTCATGCCCATAAATTCCGCATGAACTTCGTAAATTGAGTACCTTTGAGAAGAGTAGTATATTCAAGTTCTAAGTCTTGAGTATTGAGTTCCTAACTCTTTTGAGATTATATTCCTAATCATGGAACTATTACATGTTATCCATGAAGTCTTTAAGTTGAGTAGTTCATGCCCATAATTCCGCATGAACCATATGAGTCGAGAAATCTTGAGATGAGTTGAGTTGTTCATGCCCATAATTCCGCATGAACTTTATGAGTTGAGCATTCTTGAAATTAGTAGTATCATTGAAGTTCTTGAGTTCTGAGTTGTTGAGTTCCGAGTATCGAGTTCTTTATATGATTATTGAAAACCTTGAATTGAGTCGTTCACGTCCATCATTCGGCATGACCCCTATTTTGAGAAGTCTTTTACAACTTTTTCTAAACTTGTTTTAAGACTTGAGCACTTGAGTTGAGAAAGAGTAGAGTCGAGTTTATTTTCCTTAAAATGATATATGAGAACTAAGTATTCCCAAGAGCAAATGTTTTCACATTTAAAAGAGAAGGAAAGTGTGCTCAGTTGGTTGACTATCTGAAATTGAAAAGATCTGGTCCATGAGAGCAAATTAAGCATACTCTGTTGTAGGGGTGGGCGTTCAGTTTAATCAAATTTTGATTTGGTTCTTCGATATTCGGTTTTAGAAAAGTGTGCACCATATTTCAAACCAAACTAGATCGGTTCGGTTCGGTTTGGTTTAGTTCAGTGTTTTAAATCGATTTTTCGGTGTGAATAAAAATAAAGAGGGAATATGATAAAGTAACAATTGTTGTTCGCTTCACATTTCAAACTTCAAAGTAACAACTAACAGTCTAATAATAAAAAGTAATAACATCAAAATAGTTTTGTTTAGGTTGTTTGAAGTGTAAATGATAAAGTGTGCCCTTTACTGTTTTGTTTAGGCTCCAAAATTTAAAAATTGAAATGGGCCAGGTAAATATTTTGAGTCAAAATATATAAGCATTATTAAAAAATATAATTTAAATATTTTTAAATTTATTTAATAAAACTTCAGTTCTTCGGTGCACCGTAGTTTTGGGACCCTTACACCGAACTCCGAACCGAAGAACCGAAAAAAAATAACCGACACCAAACCGAAACCCGAAGAACCAACACCGAAGAACCGAAATAATTCGGTTCGGTTCGGTTTTTCGGTATATTTATTCCCACCCCTACTCTGTTGTTGCTCTGTTTTTTTACAAATATGTCTTGTTTGTCTTGATCGTAGTTATCTCTTTAGTGAACGTAGATTGTCAAAAAACACCAATTAACACATAGTTACATACCGGAGAAGGAGAGTATAGAGCATTGTAAAATATACTTTCTTCATCTCAAAATAAGTGTCGCTTTGAGCTTATGATTTCACACACATTAAGAAAAACATTAAACGTAAGGTATAGTTACATATTGAGACAATTTTTTTGGTTGTTGCTAAAGCAACATATATTTCGACTTTTGAATAGCTACCATAGGAGTCTCCTTTGGTTAAAAATTGTCTCACTAATACAAAAACGACGCTTCAAATTCAAAAGTATATAATAAACACAACAAATAGCTAGCACAAAAGGACATAGTAATAATAGATACATTATTATTATTATGATTAGATCTTGTATCGCGACAATGCAGAAGTTCCATCTACGCCTCTATTATGGAGGTAACTAGTGTGGTCTTTCACTGTGGTTGAGCGATATTTTGGAGGATTTTCTTCTGATAACAGTTCAGTAATCGGTCCATAAAGCTTGGAAGATTGCCATGGACTTTCACCGAAGAAGCTTGCAACTGACAATCTTGATCCAACTTTGTTTGAAATTGCTCTGTGCTCAACACTTATGTATTTGACAACAGCTGCAAAAAATAAGCAAATGTATACGATTTTCAAATGGCTTCCGCGATTAATTCTGTATATAATATCGACTACTAACCTGCAGAAAATCTCCAATATTCACCACTAGAGAGCCAGGTGTAGGAGGAACATCAACCCATTGATTCTGGTGAAGAACTTGGAGTCCTCCGATATCATCTTGTACAAGGACCGTTACAAAACCAATATCGGTATGTTGAATGGTGCCCATGGTAAGTTCTGGCTGAGGACATGGTGAATAGTAATTGCATGAATAACTAAGATGACAACAATCCATATGATCTTTGAGATAACTGCGATTGAGACCGAGACCTTCAGACAATAATTCAAGTAACGTGAATCCCAATTTCGTCACATCCTTGGAGTAGTCCATCAGTACTTCCCTGCATTGAAACAGGACATACTTTTATAATAACAGAGCAAAACAGAGTAATAACAGAGCATGCTTAATTGGCTCTCATGGACCTGTCTCTGTCTTTACATAGTCAACCAACTGAGCTACTAAGAATCTCCTTCCTAACAGTATACTCCAAAATTCACATTAAGCATAAATAAATCACATGACACAATACGTTTAATTTTATTCGGATTAAGAAATGAAAATATTTACCCGCATGGAGTTGGAAATTCTTGTGGACTGGGAGGATTCGGTGCCACAAAACAGAAAATTGTCTCTCCAACTTGCAGCTGGAACAGAAGGTTTATACAAATCAAGATTGCTAATAAAACACCTTTCTCTCCGTATCTCGAGTGTAATACTGTTTCTTAACCTCAGTATCTTGCTCGAAAAACTGTCGTGTTCCTTGCAACGTTTTGTCCAGGACGGATTTTGGAATTCCATGATTAATCACTTGGAAAAAACCCCATTTCTCTGATGCATCTCGAACTTTGTCCACAATCTCTTTATGCTTAATCGGATCCTCATCGATGCCTTGAAGATCTATCACTGGAAAAACAAAGTGTGTTTCACATGTTTTCGCCCTGTTTTTTTGGGGTAGAATGAATATTTGAGGTACTTTAGTGATTCCAGAATCAACCAGACCTTTGACACCAGCCTTAGTATCATCTAACGCTTTAAATTCACTCATTCTGTCATAACTTTCCTCAACTCTAGAGCTTCCCATCTTTTCTGCACTATGAATGATTAATTTTTACAACTATAATTTGTAAAATAGGAATGATTTATCAAAATGAGTATGACATATTTATTTATTATTATAGAAAATAAAAGAAACGTGAACAAGAAAGAGACAAAGTAGCTAACGTTTCACATTCACTTTTGAAATCTAAGAGAGACGCGGTTAAATTTTTGTTCTCTTTTCAAAATCTCGATCGCGAGAAGTTTGATTAAGGATGGAGAGATTCAAATTATTCCAAACATAATCTATACTAGTCATTTTTTGAATTTTTCATATTGTTGTAATGGACATTTAGCCATAACAACCAAAAAACAAATGATAAGATAAATGAAAAAGAATTACATTATATATAAGAACAATAATATAACGCAAATACTTGTAACAAATTAATAACATGAAAGATTATGAAATAAAACTGAAAGTTATCTACCAAGAGGTTAACAACACAATAGATGTACCACTAAATCATGAAATAGTAACATTTTCTATAGAAGTGATTGCCTTTTATAATTTAGGAAAAAAAATTTAATTACACAAAGAAAATAATTTTTTAGGTATACAAAGAAAAATTTTAAGTGGTCAAAATTTGAGAGAAAATGAAATTACCTCGTCAAGCAGTCAACATGAAATTTCACATTTGAAGTAATTCAGAACTATTTATAATTATGTTGATGGGATAAAACCTTGCAACTCTTATCATATATTTTTTTTCTCTTGCCATATATTATAACACTAGTTAATTTTTTAAATATATTTGTTCTTAACATATATTTGGACTCTTAATTATTAATTTTCCTTATATTTCTCCCCATACATTTTTCTTTTACCATATATTTTAGGATTTCTTAATAATTAATTTTTCTAATATCTCTTACCATATATTTTAGGACTCCTTAATTTTAAAAAAAAAAATTTCTCTTAACATATATTTTAGGACTCTTAATTATTAATTTTCCTAATATGTCTTACCATCTATTTTGCTGTTACCATGTATTTTAGGACTTTTTTTAATATTAATTCTCTTAATATCTTTCACAATACATTTTCTTTTAACCATATTTAGGATTCCTTAAATTTTAAAATATATTTTGCTCTTTAACACTCTGTTTGGATCATTGTTACCCATTGTTTCATAATGTAATGTATTGTATTGTACTGTATGGTAGATACAATGTTTGGCTAGACTATATTGTTTGTTGTTGTTTTATAATATTTTTATTTTTTGGTTTGACTGTATCGTACTGTATTTTAATTTATAAATTTACTAAAATATCCTTAATTATTCTAGGGTATGAGATTTGACTAGAATTAAATAATATAGGGTAAAGGGTAAAATAGTAATATGAAATATTATGTAAGGATATAATTGAAAAAAGAAATTAAGTAACAATGGGAACACACCAAATCGGTTGTTCCATAAAATGAGGGTTTCATTGCTACATAACAACGAAATTTAACAATACAATACAATACATTTTAAGTAACAATCAAAACAAACATTGTAGGTATGATAACGATACAATACAATACAATGGGGAACAATGATCCAAACAAAGTGTAACATATATTTTAGGACTTTTAATTATTAATTTTCCTAATATATCTCTTACCATATGTTTTACAGGATTCCTTAATTATTAATTCTCCTAATATCTCTCATCATACATTTTCCACTTACTATATATTTTAGATTTCTTAATAATTAATTTTTCTAATATCTCTTGCCATATATTTTAGGACTTTTAATTAAAAAAATTTCCTATTATATCTTACCATATACTTTATAATTCCTTAATTATTAATTCTCCTAATATCTCTCACCATACATTTTTCTCTTGCCATTCATTTTAGAATTCCTTAATAATTAATTTTCTAAGACCTCTTACCATATATGTAACTGTAGGGGTGTTCATGGTTTGGATAAAAACCGATCCAAACCGAAAAACCAAACAAAACCGATTTAATTTGGGTTTTGGTTTGGTTTGGTTTTAGATTGTTAAGAACTGATAGTCATTGGTTTGGTTATGGTTTTGTTAAAAAAAATCGAAGAAATAACCGAATCGAACCAACAAGTTATATACATAAATTTTATTATTATACATACATAATATATTATATTCATAAACAATTTTAAAGATTTTATATATGTTTCATCAAAATTTATTTATAATTTACTTGTGAAAGAAAAAATGTCCAAGGTGAGAACATTTTTCTTATTGGTTTCATGTATATGGTTGTCTATGGAAATTCATTGTGGGACTGAAAATGTCATTGTACCTTCTATGCCAAAATAGTGAATTTTGAAGTTTTATTCAGTAAATTCAATAATCCAAAGTTCTGTAATGCCAGTCATTTTAACTATTTTTTCGTTTGAATGGATTGTTGTCACTTTTTTCACGTTTTGACTGAATTGTTTCTTTTATTTTTATGTATGGTTAATAACCGAATAACCGAACCAAACCAAACCAAAACCGAAAACAACCAAACCGATAAATGTATATTATATTGGTTTGGTTTGGTTTGGTTTTGATAATTTTAAAACCGATTAAGTTGTTTTGGTTTTGACCAATAACCGACCCAAACCAACCCGTGAACACCCCTATATGTAAGACTTCTTAATTATTAATTCTCCTACTATCTCTCACCATACATTTTCTTGTTACCATATTTTTAGGATTTCTTAATTATTAATTTTTTAATATCTCGCACCATACATTTTCCTCGTACCATATATGTTAGGACTTTTTAGTTTTTAAAATATATTTTACTTTTTAACATATATGAAGTTGTGTTTGATTATAGTTTTTGTAAATAATATTTAGTTGTTTGAATGTACGTTCGATAAAAAACATGCAATATAAAAGACTCAAATGTACCATGAACTAATAGAACTAACTTATCTATGTCATTCGTTAAAAAAATTGGCTCGTTTATGTCATCACCGTTATAAAACAAGCTTGATTCACAAACTCCTAGTCAAATTTATGTTTTATGTTTTCACATCCACTTTTGAAATCTTTAATTTCTATACGTAATCTATACGTTCTAGTTTCAAATAACTTCTATCCTAAGTTTAGATCTCATAAACCATAACAAATTCTCTAGCTATTCCAACTAAAAAGGTTAACATCTCCAAGTTCTTGTTGTGGAAATTTTAAATGAAAGCTACTTTAACATATGTACATCCGTTCACTTCAACTTTTGGACTTTTTTTTGTTTGATTTTTCGCTTAGTGTTTGATATCTGTATTAGAGTATGATCAAATATAAATTTATGTTTTAACTATAAGGTCCATTTCTGGGGAAAACGATTTTTTTTTCATTCCCAAGGACTCGAATGAAGACCTCTAACTCTTAAGAACAACTTAAATCCAGATTCCCTATCACGTTTTTTAAAAAAAAATTTCAATCAAGTAGATTGTCAAACACACCAATTAACACATAGTTACATACATGAGAAGGAAAGTATAGATATATCATATTGCATCATAAAATATACTTTCTTTATCTCAAAATAAGTGTCGTTTTAAGCTCATTTCACACACTCATTAAGAAAAAAAATAAACGTAAGATATAGTTTATTTAGTTATCCTTATTTATTAGATGTTTCCTTTGGTTAAAAATTGTCTCACTAATACAAAAAACAACAATTCGAATTCAAAAGTACAATCTGCAGAAGTATGAAATAAACACGACAAATAGCTAGAACAAAAAGGAATAGTAATAATAGATACATTATTATATCTTGTAACGCAACAATGCAGAAGTTCCATCTATGCCTTTATTGTGGATGTAACTCCTGTAGTCTTTCACTGTGGTTGCACGATATTTTGGAGGATTATCTTCTGATAATAATTCAGTAATCGGTCCATAAAGCTTGGAAGATTGCACATTATCACCAAAGAAGCAGGCAACTGACATTCTTGACACATCTTTATTTGCAATTACTCTGTGTTCAACACTTATGTACTTGTCATTTGACATGAGCTGCAAAACAATAACCACTCCTCCGGTTTCAGTACCAAATTACACAAATGTGTCTAAAAATATATATGAATTTTCATCTTTACCTTAGCTCGTAAGTAAACACTCCAATACTTACAAAATTATCATCTTATGTGTCATGTTAGTATCAGGTGTCCACTAGACATAGTCTAAAAGATATGTACTCTCAAATTTGGAGTGCTTACTTCCTAGCTTAGACCATTTTCAAATGGCTTCAATGGTTAATTTTGTTTACTATCCAATATCTATATGAGATTAGAAAAAAAAGAGTATTAACCTGCAGAAAATCTCCAATGTTAATGATGAGAGCACCAGGTATAGGAGGAACATTAACCCATTGATTCTGATGAAGAACTTGGAGTCCTCCGATTTCATCTTGTAGGACTGTGAAAAAATCACCATCGGAATGTTGTATGGTGCCCATGGTGAGTTCTGGCTGAGGGCATGATGGATAGTAATTGCTCAAAACACTTAGCCCTTTAGCACAATCCATATCATTGAGATGACAACGATCAAGATCGAGACCTTCAGATAAAAAATCAAGCAAGGAGCAGCACAATTTCGTCACATCCTTGGAGAAATCCATTAGTATTTCCCTGCTTGATGAAACAGGACAAAACAGAGTAGGCTTAATTGGTGTTAAAATTAAGAGTTACTATTATCAATTAAGAAATGAATATTTACCTACCCGCATACTGTTGGAAATTCTTGTGGAGTAGGAGGATTAGGAGCTATGAAACAGAAAAGTGAGTCTCTCCAACTTGCAGCTGGAACACAAGGTCTATACAAATCAAAATTGCTCATATAAATCACCTTTTTCCTGTTATCTCGAGTGTAATACTGTTTCTTAACCTCGTTTTCTTGCTCGAAAAACTATCGTGTTCCTTGCAATGTTTTGTCCAGGATGAATGTTGGAATGCCATGATTAACCACTTGGAAGAAACCCCATGTCTCCGATGCATCTCGAACTTTGTCCACGAT